CAACAGAGATAAAAGCAGCCTTTTAGGATTGTGGAGTAATAATGGTTCAAGAATGGAGTGGACTGAGTCACTCATGAGCTAAAATGTTGCCTAATGGTCCAAAGTTATCTTAGATTAGCATTTACTTTGGAAAATTAGGTCCCCAAAGTCTGGAGGAAGAGTGCGACAGTTTTGCGACACTTGTAGGTATTTTCCAGTAAAGTAAAATTGCTAAAGAAAACAGTAAAGATTAGAGCTCTTCAAGCTTCAGGTTTCCTGGAGATGCTGATTTCATTTATTATGAGCTGGTCAGTTTTCCAAAAACGTCAGAAGCTGGTTCAGTGACCTGCGTGCTGCTGCGTTTAAATGGCCAGCAAAATGACTGACTGAATCTATGGAGTCAAGGGAAGAGAAACACCTGAATGTCCAATGCAGATGACTTGGAGTCGGATTGATTAAGGCCTCAGCAGAACCTCAGGCTGATCACCTCCATGACACGCCGATGCATCAACTGATGCAAAAGGAGCCCAATCAGTTACTGAGTGCCAGCAATAAACATCTCTGGAGCCTGAACATTTTGTTAAACGAACCTCACATTTTTTAATCTAATGTTATCAGAATCATTTTTAAGATACACAGACTTTAAAATAGTAATAATAATGTAATACTTCTATATAAAGCATGGAATTTATCCTTCTATTTAAGTGGCTGAAATTATAGTCATAGTACTGTTAGAAAGTTTGAAAATTTTTATGGTAGCAAACATATTTACAAAGCACTGCATCTTTGGTCCTGTTATGCATGAAGGTTATACAATACCAATTATTATGATCAGTTTGATGCCTCTTTTCTTAACCTGAGAAATATCTTAAAAATGTCTGTGTTGATCCTTCTTCAGAGAAGAAGCAGTACCGGGAGTCGTACATCAGCGATGCTTTGGAGCTGGACATGGAGCAGCTGGACAAGCGATCCAGAGCCAGCGGCAGCAGTGCGGGCAGCATGTCCCACCACAATCGTCTGTCACGCCACTCCACAACCAGCCACGGAAGCTCACACACATCCGGTATTGAAACAGATAGCTTCAGGGCCCCCGGCCAGGCTCCTCACAGACCTCTACGGACCTGCAGCTCATCAACCACCAGCCATGAAAGCTCCCACACCTCCGGCATTGAAAGCAGCGG